TCTGACTGAAAAACAGGAAAAAGCATTTAAAGCACAATTCCATTTATAATCTTAGGATATAACTAGGCAACAGACTGTTAAAGTTAGCAACAGAAGAGTGTCACAAAGCATTATTCCTCTTCTTATATCTGTCACTTTTAAGTCATAGAATGTATGATTGATAAATGTAAAGTTCAGAAATTTTCAAGTTAGGTCACCACTTTGCTGAAGAAATGAACATTCAAAAAAGTTCTATGTGACTTTTAATTGATTTACTTTCTTCTTGGTGCCTCCAGAAAGGGATGTTAAGAGCAGGATGTAGTTGGGAATCAACGTGCAAGGTTGAAGCAGAATAAATATACAGCTAAAATCAGTCACCTGTGGCAAACAACCTGCTACTTGCTGCCTGCAATGCCAGTGTGGTGCACGGAGCATAGACAGAGCTCTGCAGTGCTGTCAGGAATTACACACATGGGGGACCCCAAATTCAACATGATGCTGGATGATGTGAGGCAGATGATCAACCTGGAATAGTAGTGGGCACATATGCTGAAAATGAAGTAGGAATTATCACCAGAAGGCAGTGAAGGGTCTAAAAAAAACCTCTTGATACCTGGCTGATAAAGGGATTAAAAAACCTCATGGAAAGTGAGTCCATTTGTGCTTATTACAGCCAGAGAACCAGATGCCATTTTCAGCTCAGGTTTCCACAACTCCCTGACAACTTAAGTCCTAACAAGGAAAGAGATATCAGGGCAATGGGTGCAGCAAAGAACCCCACTGACACGGTCCAGCCTCCTGCAGAGCCTCCCCACATCCTGCCCAGGGCCTCACTTCAGCTCCCAAGGGCAGTCAGCTCCACCCCAGCAAGACCACAGCAGTGCTGGTCCCCAGCTCCTCACCCCCCTGCTCAGTCATGACCTCATATGCAAGTCCATCCATTGGCCCCCATCCCAGCCAAGCCCTGTCCTATTTCTGATCACAGTGCTGATGCTTGGGTCTAGAGCTGCTTTTCTGCACCCCATTGCCCTGCTCCTGGCCAGGTAGGACAGGCCCTGTGGCCAATGGGAGCCCAGGCCCCTGCAGAACCCCGACAAGGTCTTCTGTAGCTTGCTCATTACTTCTCTAATCTGGTCCTGACCACAGTCTATGCTACAGCAGTCCCAGTATCACAAAAAAAAAAAAAACTGAAACATGAGTGTAAAGGCAGCATACTGACAGCTGCACCAAGAGGAAGCAGAGGGTTTATATCTAAATGGCACATCCCTGAGGAAATGACTGGACTCTGGGTGGCTTAAAAATGATCAGACAAAGGAGTCTTCCTTGGGAAGGTGCAGTCCACACCAAAAAAATCTCTCTCTAGAGGCCTGAAAACACATTAGAAATACTTCATGGACACAAAGATTGATGTCCCTGTAAGCCATCTACTTTCAAAATATGACCTACAAAACTATAAGGATGAAATTTGGAAACTCAGTGATGTCAAGGGAGAATATGTGGTTCTTCTCTGAAAGACAACTTGACAACTTGTTTTTTTTAATTAAAAAAATAAAACAAAACTTGAAACTCATACTTTGATCACATTCCTTGGAAACTTTGGAAACCATGTTTGTAAGTGTTCACACACATTTCACCTAGACAAGACAAAGGGCAGAGGAAAGTGACTCTTGCAGCTTCACAGTAACACTTTATTAAAGCATAAACCAACAAGTTAATGGACTTGTTCTAAACAACAGGTCAATGAATTTAGAATCAGACTGCCTGCCTCGTCACTTCAGCGAAGATCTATCAAGGTGTGATAGAAAGTCAAAGTCTTTTCTTTAAATAGATAGACACAGAACCAATCATAATTTACAAACAGGCAGCCCTGAAGTTAAACTTTCATGTAATAAATAACCATAAATATGGGGTTCATTTTAACATAGACATACTAGAAATCCACTTAAAATTAGATAAACAGAAAGAGTAGCATTCAGCTTCTGTTCAGATAGTGAATCAGAAAAAGGTTTTTCCATTCATCATTCTCTGAAGATGCTGCAGACAAACTCTTGGAGAAACACATCCCAGAAAACAAACCTGGCATCACAGATTGTGTGAGCAATACAGGACTCTAAGGCTATAGCAGTAGACAAAAGTGTAGAAAATTGCAGGAGAAGATAAGAAGTCACTGCAATGATTAAAGTGTTGGTATAAAATTGGCTCAAACAACCATGCTTTAACATAGCAGATTCTTCTTTAGCAAACTCCTGTGGGAAGGCCACCAGATTATCAAGTATTTTTTGAAAGTTCATTTTAATAGGAAAAAAAGTGTTAGATTACCTAATACAGAGATGTAGATTGCCAAGGATTGCAGAATATGAAATGAAGAGAAAAGGAAAGAGTAAAAGATCTAGGCAATCAATTCAGTACATCATGGTAGTTATCTTCTTGTAATTAAAAGAAAAATGTGGATGTGATGCAAAAAAATGAGAAACACTAAGGGCACACTTAGAATACCATAACACCAAAGTGATAAGTAAGTCCAGAAGATGACCCAAGACTGGGTCTGTGATGATTCCTCCTGATAATTATATGTCTCTAAGCTTCCTGACTAACAGAACCTAATTTCTAATCTCTTTTTTTCTGCAGTCTTGCACACTGAAAGAGCTTAGCAGCTGACTTCTCTGTGGAGTTACTGTAAGAAGATTTCATTTACCAAACAGTATACTAAGTCATAAGATCTCCAATCTCTTCAAACTCCAGCTGGAAATGGCAGAGTTTAATACACCACACGATCACACAAACCTCTTTTTCTTCATAAGCCAGGTCAAAAAACAGTTTTCCTCCTTTGGTAAAGTTTCCACACAAACTTGTTCTTAACATTTTCCAGAATAACACTTTGACCAAGGTAGAAGACCTTCTAATTTAACAGTGGGTTTGATTTCATTTGAAAGAGGAAATAGGGCAGGTAATTGACATTTGTGATCCATATCTATTTAAGATAGCACTGGAAGACGAATCTAGTCAAAACCCCAGAATATTGTACTGTGGTATCAGACTAATATAGAAATTCTTGGTTGCTCATGTAGCTGCTTAGAATCAATGAAAACATTACAGAGTCAACAGTAAATGCCATTGGATGTAAAATTATTTTCTTGTTCATATGATGAACTGATTATTATGATTTTGGTGTGGGAATCAGAAAAAAGATGATACAGAATAAGCTCATCTATAAGAGAGCTTAAGTAGATGCAATAAATCTTAAGTAACATGTAGAAAATAGCAGGAGAATATATCCATGACAAGGCATAACATTACTCATTACTTTTTCACCAGTTATACCTGATTTGATATCCAGGAGAGAAAGGTAAAAGTCTTCTAGAAAGACTCATACTTAAGGGAACATGAAGAAAAGTCTTTGGTGAAATGACTATTTGGGTCTTTCAATATCTCCCTATAAGCATAAGCATTAAGTAAATAAGGCATTGGGAAGCTCTCTCTCCTGGGACTGAGACTGCATGGAATGCTAAAAACACCTTCTGTAAAATAACTGAAAATTTATGGCATGAATTTAATCATATGCATTATCCTCAAGATGACCAGATAACCAGATAAATGCAATTTCAATCTGCTACACACTTGAGTAGATAAATGGTTGAGAATTAGTGAATCAGTCTTGCAGGTATTCGCTCTGCTTTTCTGTTGCAGGACAGAGCATGGCAATGTGATAAAATCCACAGTGGTCAGCATAGAGCATTTCCTAAGACTATGCAAAGGCAACAAGGCAGGAAGAAAATTATCTGTGTGGTTTGCATTTAACACTTTGTCTTAAAGAGTACAATCTCAAATCTTCAATCAATTATTTGATGATGATTAGCTAATAAGAATTTTTTTTCCAACAAAAGTTTACTTTTTAGGGGTCTCATAAGGCAATTTTTTAAATTAATAAAATGAAATTCCTTTATGTGTTTCAAAGGAGAAGGAAATCTAGATTTGAGAAAGTAATTACTTGAATAACTACCTCTCTTAGCACTTGTAAGTAGTAAACTTTGTTTGCTATCTGATTTCTCTATCTTCATACATACTATAAATGATATATGCAGGGCCCAAGTGTATTGAAAGAAGATTGGACGTGTGTTTAGGTATTGCTTTGCATAACAAAATATTTTCAAGATAGCCAACTTGAGAGCTTGTGTTGATTCATATCTTTTAAAGGAAATAAATACTTTCCTGAGGAAAAAAAAACAAAAACAAAGCAAAATTCTTGAAATAAAACAAAAAAAGCTTGAGAATCCACTAATTACTCTACATTTGGAATCGGAGTTTGTTGCTAGGAGAATGTGTCCTGATGATATCAGGAGAGATTGCTCTATTTTAAAGATTAGAATCTGTAATCAAAATACTTATCAGGTAATAACTATATGTATGAGCTCAGTATAGACCACGTGAAGTATGAGACAAGTGCTAGAATGCTTATGAAGACTGCAAATCTTTAAATCAGTTTCAGCAATCATGACATACTGGCCTGATAAAAAGAAGCTCATTACTTGTTTGCTACACTTCGGATGAAAATTCAGTTGGTATATAAATTAAGGAATAAATATTGATGAACATGCCAAGAAAGGACTGATATATTTCTTGTATTTTAATAGTAACAATTTGTAGGTCTCTAAAAATTCTTAAATGAAGAACTCTAAAACAAGTTGGAACTACTGAGAAGGAAAGTTTGTTGCAGATATAAGTAGAAATTTTTAATATTAGACCAGATTTACCAACTAATTTCAAACAACAGCAAGAACCTTAGGAAAGTTGAAACTTTTCATACTTACAAATTACAATGATGGGATTTATAACATTTACGTAAGTTTTTATTTTGTAGAAATCTAAACAAAAAGTAATATATGCAAATTACAACATCAAGAAAAATATGAATTGAGAAGTAAATGTTTAATTTATTCTTCCACAAAAAAAAAAAAGCTGAAGGATGATTTTTTTCTTGGTGCAAAAGAAAAACTGTTATTTTACATCAAGTGTCCCAATTATTTTACTTTAGTGTGACTCAATCAATGAAGAGGCATGGCTTTCATGAGATGTTTGGACAAACCACAGAACTTAAAATGTATACCATAATAAAAATTTCCTTATCTTGATAGCTCTAGAACATCTCTTGCTGCTCTCAGTATTACTGCATGGCTAGAACTGAGATCATGTAGTGTATTTACCACTTTGCCTATAGACAGAGTTGCTGAACATGCGTGGGAACCCCAGATGCAAGCCATATGTAATTAATTATAACTAGCATTGAAATATTCTGAATGAAGTACAATCAGAATAATTCAATAGGTTTAAAAAAATCCATGGCAATATATTATCCTTGAAACAGTAAGACAAATATTTTTTCCTACTTGCAATTAGTTGGCATTTTCTCACTCCTTCTTCACTTTAAGTTTCCACCTGACATTTCAGTTCTTTCATGATGTGATATTGCAAAGATGTTTATAATAAAGAGGATACTATCAGAAAAATTGTTCAGATGTGAAGATGTCCCTTAGAGAGCAAAATAAAAGCTGGCATATGAATTCCTTCATGTAGTCACTGTAAAGCATCAGAACGATTACTCATATTTTTGGGTGGGTGGATTCTTTTCTGCATTTTCCCTTTAGCAGCAATCCAGCCTGCTCAACACATAAGCCAGTCAGCTACAGTTCAGCCCCCTCATATAAGACAGATTTTGACTTTGCAATGTCAAGCCCTTGTTCACAGTAAGCCAGATGATTTTTTAGCACCACATGGTAGCCCGATAGCTCATTTTCAGTTGTGCTGTACAGGGTGAAATCTTAGCTTTTACCCATTCTTTGATTTCTACCTTTCTTAAATAACCATTAACTTTTTGAAAATCTCAGATGTTCTCATAAAATGGAATAGTCTGTCAGTTCAGCCTAGCAGGATTTACACGTAGCATTCTTTCATCATTTTCTGGCTGATAACAATGTCTTCAAAATCTTCATGACATGCAGTATCAGAATTTGATGACAATAATAATTTAAGAAACCAGAACTAACAAGAAACAAAATCCTCTGAATTACTTTAATCAAGGGACAGCTCCATGTCCAAATTCATTTCTCAGCATGCTGGAAAGTATGGATGTCCTCTCTTGTTATCTGAAATTATATCAATACGAGATCAAGGCTATCAAGAGGAGATACATTCTCAACAAAACTACAGTGAAGTCCAAATTCATTCAGGCATGTTACCTTTCTTAGCATTAATTTCAGATGTGTGCTTTTTGGTGCAATATCACCTCAAAGCAAACTGCAGTACCTGCTTTTTAGAGGAGGGAGAAATAATGAAAGATTTTTTTCTTACAAGTTGCATTTCTAAATTATGAAATTGGCAGAATGGGATAAATGAAAGGCTGTGGATTTCCTGAATAGTTTCGTAAATTCCATATACCCAAGAAAATATCATTTAGATGTTATGACAACTCATAGATTTAAATGCCAGCACAGAGCAGCTATGTTACTGTCAGAAAAACAAACAAAAACCTACCCCAACAACAACAAAAACAAGAACAAAAAAGAGTTGGTGTCAGGAAAAAAATTACTAAAATTAATGTATTGATTTATTTTTAAAAAATGTGATTATATTAATACCAGTGTGGCAGTTAGACTATTCAAAGCTGAAACTTTGAATAACTTTTATATACAAAAGACCTTATGTTGACAACTGATGGTGTGCAAAGACTTAACAATTAAAGAACCGTAAAAAGAAAACATAATAATTTCCAATTTATAAATCAAATCTATGACACGAACACACTAACAGCAGATTTCATCTGAACAACTGTAGCTGTTCATGACATATAGATATATCTGTGTATGCTTATGATTTTAGGCTACTTTTTAAAATAAGATTGAAAAATGGGAGCTTCCAAGCCATAATTCCCCTGGACATCAAAGTATCTAAAGAGCAGAGAAATGACTGTCTAAAAATGTCTTTTTTCTTACCAGTGATTGTAATTGGGTCTTGTTACCTTTATCTCTGTTGTTAAAGACTATCTCTCTCTGCACAGTTAGGTTTAGCCAAATGATTTACATATGGAAGACTGAAGCCATAAAACAAAGCTGTGCCAGACCTGGAGGTTGAATAGAGATCTATGAGAAACTCTATCAGCTCCCTGTCAAGACCATCTTTCCTGTGGCAAACAATTCTTGGTTATCTGAAAAGCAAGGATAGAGAACTTGTGTGAATAAACGTGAATTTCATCTTTCACAAACTTCTTTAGAAAAAGATTCTTTAGAATTTGTAAAAATTTATTAGAAGCTTGTGGGAACTACCATTCAATTCTCACAGTCCTTCAGAAGTAACTACCAAAATAAAGATCTACTTTCCAAAGAGAATTTTTTTTTTTTAATTATAAAGTTGAATTCACTCTGTGTGTTGGAAATATTTTTTTTTTTTCTCAGCACTGTTGGACACAACTTTAAAGTATAAATTCCACATATATGTGCTGCAATATCTATTTTTCAGGAAATTACTACTAAACATATAGCTACAGTTCACCTAAGAAAGGATGCAAAATTCAGTGATATATAAAGCAAATTTTCTTCTTTCTATTTTGCATTGATTTTGATGAAGGCTGTAGCATTTTGGCAGAGACTTAGACACATCAATCTGTGTAGACCTATATCTCCTTTGTATAATGCATATACTTATTTTTTGTTTTCCGACAAAAAGCCCATTAAGCAATCTTTTATCTTCATTATATAGAAGAAATTTTAAAAGTGCCCTAACCTGCTTTGGTTATTTTATGGACAAAAGTACCGGATTAATCACAAGCCCATGGGAGTGAGTTTTCTCTATTACTGGCTATGAACCTTTATATCAAGACAGTTTTGTCACGCAGACTGAAGTGATCTTATTACAAAGAATGACCATTTTCAGATGAGTGATTTAAGGTGACTGTTATGTCATCAAATTGTAACTGTCATTGATTAACTAGAAAGTCAATTCTTCTGCATCTAATTAACAGAATAGATACTAAAAACATCTGTCCTACAGTATAGACTCATGACAATACATATCTGGCATGATATTTATGTTCAGAACCTAAGAAATCTGCATTTTCCATGCGAGATTCATAAAAAAGATAAAATCAGATAAAAATCATTTTTCTATCTATCTTGTGTCTCAAAAGTGATTTGCTTGTTGTTGTGTCTGATTATTTAATAATAGCTCCTTGAAAACTCTCTAACAACATTTCCTGAAACAATTTCTCTGCAGCATACTGCTTCTAGGAGTCACACAGAAGTAAATCTGGAGCATGTCAATAGATTTCTGCCCAGTAGTTGCTTCAAATATGATGATTTAGTGAAGATCAGTGCTTTTCAAAATGCATTTCAAATTATTTTTCTCTGCTCTCACAAAAAAAAAAAAAAAAAAAAAAAAAAAAAAAAAAAACACACACACCATAGTGATGATTTCTCCCTTTAAAATAAAAGCTAGAATCCATTGGGGAAAAAAAACAAGGCTATTGATAATTTCTTTTTTCCAAACATTTTATAGACCTACTAAAAATCATCCATACTTCTCTCAGAGCCTATGTTCCCCAGTTTACAATCCATGAATATACAGATGTTATAGTATAGCAGAGAGCTTAGCTATGCAGTTGTTACACCAAAGCAGAAAACAAAAAAGATAGAGATGCTCACCTGTATCCTAGACTCACATAGGAAACTCCAGCAGAGTGGATCTCCAGAAGAGATCCTTCTCCACTGCTAGTCAGCTCTTAAATGGGTCCAGGAGAGGTGGAGCCAGGCTCCATCCCTTCCGGCAGCACAGGTGAATTGCCTTCACCTGTGCTCCCGTGGCTGACTCATTGCTCGCCTCAGGTGATCAATCAGAGGTTCAGGCAGTTCCCATACACCCAGTAAAAATTATTACTCTAAACACTCATGTAGTCCTCTTCTTACTTTTCACTGTCATTTGTTAGCAGCCATGCACTTGTTCCTTGCTCCACCCCACTTCTTTTACTCCAAGCCAGGTATGTATATGCCATCCCAGAGCCAAAAACTGCTCAGCTACACCTGGTAAAGTTGCTGTTCAATCTGATAAAGCTTATTAGGGTGCTACACAGCACAGGACATCACAGCAAAGAAAGATGCACAGTTTTCACGTCAGACAAGAATCTGATTTCACTGACTACAAATTTTGTTTGGGCGTGGCTCTGCCTATCTCTGAAGCTCAAATATACAAAGAAATGTGGTTTTTTTTTTGTTTGTTTGTTTGTTTTTGTAATTTCTAACTTAGTTAATTTGTACAGAGACTAACTGTTTTCATTCAATGTTTGCTTCATTTCTTTATTTCAGTAGATAAGCACAAGAATAATTGAACTAAAAAAAATGAAAGAAATCTTCTTTCTAGTTGAGCAGTGGACTATACCATGAAGTAGTTTTAAAATATATACTAGTATTTTTACCATAGGTAGTTGATATTAATAGCAAGTAATTAGTAAAGCATGTGACACATGTCTGTATGTTCCTTTGCCTTTTATTTGATTGCTGCTTCTGTAAAATGTATTAATGGCCTTAGGAGAAGGACACATGTATAATTGTGCTGAATTAAAAATCAGCTGGATTAATTTAGAGCATCTTGAAGATTGCTGAAGGAAAGCAGAGGACTGCAACTTGCCGTCAAAACACAAGATTATAAGATCTTGGAAGCATAAGTGTAAGATGATACCAATGGCTTCAGATCTTTAAACAGAAATCACAAATTATCAATCACTAATCATTAAAGGAATGTAACCTGGAAACTGGGTAAAACTGGATTTAGGGGTAATTAATGAAAAAGAAATAAGATGTTATTTGCAAAACTACAAAAATGACCCAAAGCAGATTCAAGAACTAATTTGAAGAAAACATTGATACAATTCTCCTTTAAAGACTTCTGTAATTACATGAGTTTAGGTCACAGATGACTTACCCCTGCTCTTTAGGAAAATTTGTTATCAACATTAGAATCTAATGAGGATATGACAGATTAAGCATAATGTCAGAGATAGGGTAGAGAGCAGGAAGTATCTCTGCTTCAGTTTTGACTAAATTACTGAGAAGGAGATATTTGGATAATTTATTCAGTAAGCTTTACTGTCATTATAACTGGATCAACAATTATTTGATTACATTATTTGGTCATTAATTATACTAACAAGGAATTCTTACCTTCAGTTCTATTTCTCTAACCCACATTAATTAGATGGTGTATTTGTTCCGAAACCGTGTTCTGGAGGACTGACTTAAATATTAGCACAGGAATTTATGGAGAATATAGGTGACTGAGGCTTTAATTTACATGCAATAGTTGATGAAGAATGTGGTATGTCCAGCTTTTAATGTCTGGATGACCATCAGGAGGTCTGGAAGAATTTCTCTTTGTTTCAATTCTAATCAATTACTTTACTGGAAACAAACATGAAACTGTAATAAAATTTGCAGATGAGTGAACTTCTTTGAGAGAAGACAAATAGTCATGTAAAAATTGATTTCAGACAGACCCTTGATGTGCTTTTCTTATTTGAAGTCAAATAGAAGCCCATGTGCCCCGGACCCAGGAATATATGTCACATGGGCAAGGTGGTCCTGCGTTCTCTGGAAAGCACCTTCCCCAGCTGTAACAGACATAATAGCTGCAATAGAGGCAGGAGGTCTTGTGCAGAAATACTAGACCACTTACTGGAACGTATAAGATGTTAATTTTATATGTGTAACAGTCCTGGAGGTATTGAATCAGTTCAGAACAGATGTAGGAGAAAATGTAAAAATTTGGAAATCTTTGGAAGACTAGATATCGCTCTCCATTTAGTTTATCAAAGAAAAGATATAGTGATCATGATATGGTGACAGTAACAGTGATAGCAGAGAGCTGATACAGCAAAGTCATACTGACATCCAAAAGCTGATGGAGAATGCCAAGTAACTTCCATATCGAAATCAGCCTCATCTGTGAGAGAGTCGGTGTGATTAGCTGCTAGAACTAACACAAGGACTTCACACTGCTTATGACACTGAAGTATAAAGTAAGTCTGTTTGCCTTTTTAGAATAGGAGCCATAGCTCATCAAGAGGTCAGAAAGTACTGAGTGAAAAGTTGTAGTCTTTGCAATGTAAGAGATCTGAATTGATTATCATAATAGTTCCCTTTGTCCTTAAACTCTCTGATTTATCAGATCTTTCATTATCTGGGATCAGTGTTAACAGGCTTTATTTCCATATGCCTTGATTCCAACATCTTTGAAAATTTTCATGAGACTTTGCAAGATTGCAAATCTTTTGGGCTGTGCACTTGTGAATGAAAGGTTTGGCAGGTGTTTTGACCTATAAAGTGAGCAAATGAATGCAAGGTATCACATGCTAGAAAAATCCATAAGAGAAAAATGTTCTTAGCATTAGCTAGAATTAAACTCTGAATTTCAAAGGTCCCTAAAAAAACACAAAATCACAATTAAAAAGGCTTATTTCAACTACAAAAAATAGACTATAATTAATTATCCATACCCATATGCCTTTGTACTTACTTGCTGGCCAGGAATTGTGCTCATGTTTCTTTATATGGTGGCCTAACAATATGTGACACTAATCATTTTTTAGTAAACACGTAGTGTCTGTACACATGAGTTTTGCTACTGACTTATGTGAGTATATTTGAGTGCTTGAAAATACTTGTGAAATATTTGACAGACTAGCATTTGAATATAAACTGTACTCATAATGAATGGGCAGCAGGTAGAAGAGTAAGGACAGAGTCATAGGAAAAAGAAATGTGCTAAAGTCTATTAAAAAAAAAAAAAAAAAAAAAGTGATTCCCACATCAGTGAATAAAGTTTTTCCATTATAGGTTTCTAGACACTTAAGAAAAAGCTAATGCAATGAAAATATACTTCTGCTTAGTATGACATTATATTGTAACATGGTATATGTCTCTAATAAAGTAAGTGAAAAGCGATCTTAAAGTGAAGTCCTTTCATGGTTGGACTCTGTGATCTTCCACAGCTGGCTGTGAACCTTGGAAGAAAGCAAATACAAGTCCCTTATATGAACACCCGTACCACTTGGATATAAAGAAGTTCAGTAAAAAGAAAGTCAGAATAAATAACTCATTCTAGTCAAACACAATGATTTAGTGAGCTTTCGCTGATCAGAAGTGATAGGAACAAAACCACAAATAATAAACAGGATGTCTGTTGTCCTTCATATGCGTATTTATATGTTTCAATTAAGTTGGCAGTCTGTCACTTTTAAACTTAGCTCTCTCCTTCAGACTCTCCTGTGCAAATGAATAGGTTGTGCTTGTACAGCTGAATCAACTTAGGCATTTTTAGTCCAATTTTTTCCCTCTTCTGACTTCCGGAGAGAGGAAATCTAAATCTAAAATCTAAATCTAAAATCTAAAAGATGCTGACGCACACTCTGCATTTCACATATGGTGCTAAAGATCCATTAACTAAAGAAAAGTAAAAAACTTTTGATCATAAAGGACAGTTGAAGGTTAGGTTTAAATAGATGTGTAACATTAGCCAAGCTTGACTGGCCATGGTTTAGCCTGTGTTTCTGAATGACTGTTCAAATATTGATGTTTAGTAAAAACAAAATACAGAGTATATACTACTGAACTGAAATACAAATGCAAAATCTTAACCCAATACATTTGAGCAATGCTTTGAATATAACTATTAGAAAACTGTGGAAAAGAAAACAGGTATTTTTTTTAGCAAAAGGATAATACTTTAATATAGAGCATGCGTTCTTGTTTCAATGTTGTTCTGGTAAGAGCTTATTTCTCTGTTCCTAGATGTTAGCAGACAGACGTCTAGTGACCTTAACAACACTGGATCAAAGTCCCTAAAGGAACTAAAGAGAATCCAAATCTTAGAACCTCTACCCATTACTCTTTATAGTGCTCCTCAAAGCTGATTGAAATTTATGGTATTAAATAGGGACTGATAAAGGACTGTGAAGGTACACTAGGTGTCCCTCTACTGTGTGACTGGGAATTTCTGGTGCAGAAGTACAGATCCACAATAAACATAGTTAAACTGTGAATAGTGAGAAACCAATCATACATCCCTATGAGGTTTTTGTGTTCCCAATGAAAAACTAAAACCTTCTATCATATTTCAAATAAAGAAAAGTAATTTTTTTTTTTTTTGTCTGTTCTTCTGCATCACCTTCTTCACGAACTGCATCCTGCTTTCTATCATTTATTTCACTTTTACTGAGGTCTTCAGATTTTGAGTGTCACGCTGATGGACTCGGTTTCTTTCCTTGTTATTCTGTGTAATGCTTTCTTAGCTCTCGTTCATCTTCTACCTCTTAAAGGTTCATGCTATTGCTTGACGTATAAGTCATATTGATATTACTCTTAATGCTTGTCCTGAATGTGTTGATCCGTATTGTTTTCTCAAGGTTGGTTCAGGACATTGGTTTCTTTACTTAGAATTACAGTGTGGCAAGCTTCCAAATAGGTTTTGACAGACTCCTGCAAATAAAGCCTTTAGATTAGTTGATAGTTATTTCTAACCACTACTGAAAATCTTTATGACTATTTCATAATGATCAGACAAGATGACAGTTGAAAAATCATTTTGGTGACAGTGCTGATGATATTTTTTCAAATCTTTCCAAGTTTGTAAAAGACATTAATAGCATTTGCTCATCATAGCTGCATGTTTACAATTGTATCATTCTCATTACAAGGC